TGAAGTAAACACAAAGTGCTTCACTTCACGGAGTTGAAGATCTTCAGCACTTGAATGATTTAGCTTCATAACCAAGGGTCAATGCCTCTTTTTTAGTATAAAGTAAGTAAGATACAATTAGCAGGTTGATACATGTATCTAGACGGTATAAAGACATTTAACCTCTGGAACCAAAAGTCGGAAAAAATAGGCATGGAAATTTCAAAAGTTTTTGATAAATGCTATTTATTAAAGTAAAATAAAATGCTTTCATAAGACCACCAGAATCCATGCTTACAAGTGCTGCAATGTAGATAAATTCCCAATCCATGCCGGTAAGGGACCGGTGAGGTAATTTGCCCCGAGTTCCCTGCATCATCAAACAATGAACAATTTAGTACTCCTAAAAACTCTCCAGAAAAATGATAAACTGTCATTTTCTACGAGCTAAAGAAAAAGAGAAACCATACAGAAAGGTTAAGAATTTGAAAGCCAAAAGCTCCGCCGGCATCCCCCCTGTTCTGTTTAGTGCAACCACTTTCCTGGGAAAATGAACAAACAGTTAGAGTGCAACTTCACAACCGAGCAAAAGTTCGAAACAGAAGTGAATGCGTTCGCCAGAGCAGCAAGAGACGGAGAGAGTACAGTCTGGTGATGTGGCAGGTAGTAGCACTGTTGAAGGAGCAATCACATGCGATGGCCAGATTGTTCAAATCGTATAGGCTCTGAGCAGCTCCGTTGCATGGGTCGCCGCTGATATTCCAGGAATTCTGCGGTGCCTGTATTTCCCATTGTTGGAAGATTGAATTCAATGCACTCACTGCATTAAAAATCAAGAAATGTCAAAATGCTTCCGGTGTTTTTCAGGTTTTAGAGGAAGCTGATCTAATTTTGTTACTTCTTTTACGCGGGCTAAGATTCTTATCGTACCCATGACGAATTACTGTTTGGGCCTTTTGCGAGCAGAGGCCACTGTAATAGTGGGCCTCACGGAGTCACATGGGCTCAATGATTTTGAAACTCCCGATTCTCACAAGACAGACAGACTGAACAACTCTTTTCTTTATTTTCTGATTTTCGATTTTGCACATTGGAAAGGTACTTCTTTCTAACTTCTTAACTCCTCTCATGTGCATGTGATGCAAATTAAACAAACAAAAGTAAATCTTACACACGTGGACGCTTATAAATGATCAAAGTGTAAAATTTTCAACATGATCAATAACTTTATTGTAAATCTACTTATCTGCACTGAAAATCCTTCTTTCTTTCTCTTCTTTTTTGTTCTTTTCCCTCAAATACCTAGATTTAGAGTCACACAGGTTAAAATAGTCTAATTACCTTTTGAAATTTAAAGAAATGAAGAAAAAATAAAACGCTTGGA